AGAACAATAATAAAATAAAATAAAATAATTGTCGAATTGCACAGACCCCCCGTCCATGTCGTAGTCCTCATCTGCCATTGCGTCTGTGTGGGTTTCGCGACTTGTTTGTGGAAACGAAGAATGGAAAGAGAGATATACAGCGTCCGTATATATTTGTAAGATATTCAAATGGGCTGGGCCTTGCGATTAATCAGAAGTTATTATTTTGGAAAAATTACCCAAAAGCCTATATCTTAAATATACTATTAAAAAAAGGATAAATTTTAAAGTCATAAATTAGGTGATAATTAAAATTTATTAAATTAATTAATAAATCCCTTACTCCCCACTACACCACCCTCACCCTCTATTTATATTATGCCCCTGTTTGATTCCCATTTTGGAGAAAATAATGTATTTTGGACACTTTATTAGAAATTGTTCCAAGAAGAAGGATAGGCAGAAGGTTATGATGAAAGGTGAGGCGAATATGGTTATAGGATCGAGTGATGATCCTAGTAAGGTTTATTGAAAGTGAACTTAGTTACTTCATGTGCATCTGTTTGTGATTCGTTCTGCACGTGTGTGATTGTCTAATTTTGGTACATGGTTATATATTGTATTTCAACGTGTTCGATATGTGCGTTTGCATGAATTTGAGGCAATATGATTATTTGGTGTAATTTTTTGTATGTATAATAGGTTAGGATGCATTAACAGTGTGGTGTACGTCTTTTGGTAAGGTGGAGTTTTTAGATGCCTAGGGGTACATCGTGGCTTGTATCGAGAATATAGAATGTGACATTTGAATCACGAGTAGAGAAGTGATTAAATGTCCATAGTTCTTTATCTATAAAGAGACCCTGATCACGTGGAGTGGAAGATGGACACTTCAATCACTTCTGTGAAATGGAGACCTATTATTTACATAGGTAGGGAGAAGTGATGTGGTGATAAAGGATTATCCCAAGAACTTAGGATCTATTTTGACTAGTACCAATTAGACATGAGTTAAGCGACCAATCTAGTAAGCATGATGGGCTATGATAGGAGATATGTGTTCTCGAGGTCTAAGCAACACAGAATAAGATATGATAAGTGCAGTGAGATCTTTTTGTGGGTTATTTATACATTTGTTGCATATGTGTTGGTCATTTGTTGATTAACGTGGTGTTAATATGTCGTTCTACGTGAACATGATTTTTTGAAAAGATCCTTTTGTTATCTTATGTTATAGCATTATCGCATGTTCATTTGCTCTTGATTGATAACTGTGAATATCTGCTTCTATTTGGGTGTTTTTAATCTTAACCCTGTGAGTACATGGAGTAGATAAGATATGTGTTTCATGTTGGAAACATGAGGTAAGGTATGTGATCCCAATTTTATTGATTACCTTGGTTATGCAAGTGCTCACTATGTGTTTTGATTGCTTGTAGGTTTATTGGACATCGAGGTGGAGATTTGTTGAGTTTTTTTGATACCTAATAAATCCCCAAGAATGATGTAAGCAATTTCAGATTATATTTCATAGGTCTCAATCGATGAGTGAAATATTTATCAACCAATCAATTCATATGCTTGACCCGAAAATAACGTGGACCACTAGTAGCAACTTAATTGGTTTTAATTTTGCCTTGGCCCAAATTCACTTACAGGAGGGTTTCTTTGAGTCTTGGCCCAATTATTGGTATAGCCTAAATCTATGTATGTCCATTCTCAATTGTGGAAGCAGTGTGTTTGCCCTTTGTTTGAGAAGAAAGAATGCACCTGCCCTCTTTGTGATCTCCCTCGAGTTTTTGCCTTTATTGTCTTCTCTTTGCCTTTGTGGGTGAAAGAGGAGGAATGCAACCACAAATGAATAGAGTTGTGGGTTGGAGTTTTTTTGGTTGGTTGGTTGAGCTCGAAATCTACAAATTGAAGATCTATTCCGCTCCGAAATTTTTCAACTAATTTTGCGTTTTGAAACATCTAAATATATTATTTTTAATATAGCTTATTTTAAAAGCGCTGAGAACAAATGGTGACAAATTTGGGAGAAAAAAAAAAAGGCTATATTTTTTTAGATAGATTGAAGATCTTGACTTGGCATTGATAAATTCTTCAAATATTTTGAAATTCTTGTCATGTGATTGAGAATTAAATTTTATTCGATTTTTAACTGAGATTCTTGATTCAAATAATAAAATAAGATAAAATCAATTTCTCTCCAATTTTATCCTCAATGCAACTTACATGGTACTCTAGGACTGCTATGATACATTGACCAAATTTTTAACTTCACTATTATGTTTAATACAAAATTTTTATTATACTTATGTTGCAGTTTTTCCTCCACAGATCTCGTCCATAAGATTTCAAAATAACATCATTTTCTTGACGCATAGACTACTTGCAAACGAATATTCGACTTCTAACTTATCAATGCTAAATTTAATGTCACAACTATCAATAATTGCATAATTGCATCATGTAAGCAGACCAAGGCTTGGGAATTTCATTTCGTAAGAGAGAGCAATCGAATATGTAATGTTAAATCAAGAAGATGAGTAACTTCCAGCATTGGTCCTTCGAATATTCTTTACCATTGTCACTATAGCAAGCATTTTAGGTCTCTGCTCTGGCTTCCTAGCCACACAACTGAGCGCGATTTGCAACATATTCACCATCTCTTCCTCTTTATCAGGAAAATGCAGCAGTTCTGAATCAAATACTTTAGTAGTCCCCTCCTTGTGAACAATTGAACGAACCCATTTGACCAAGTTTAAGACTCCAGCTCGGGAAGGGGATTTCCCGGTGAGAAGTTCAAGAATCACAATCCCGAAGCTGTAGACATCAGAAGCTTGCGACACTTTCCTGGTGTTTATGGTTTCTGGGACGCGGTACCCTGCAGTCCTCATGACTGGAGGTCCAATCGGAGTTACCAATGTTGCTAAGCCAAGATCGGACACACAACCATATTGTTGTGAGTTCAGGAAAATGTTCGAGGCTTTTATATTTCCATGGACAAGCTTCCCGTCACATTGTGCATGGATATGAGCAATACCAGTCGCAGCACCAATTACAATTCCTAGCCGAGTTTCCCAGTCGAGAAGAATCTGGTCCTTGGATCTTTTTTCTGAAAAATATGTCAAATGCATCAGAGATTCAGAGTATAATAGCATCTGGGTTTTTATCCATGAACTAGTAATCATTATTATCATACAATGAAGAGAGTTATCTCAGTAAACTTCATATTAGTTTTGAAAAAGTATGATTCAAGCACTAGGAAAAATCATTAAAAACTAAACCTGCATATGCTAAATAATCTACAAAAACAAAATTTGCATTTACTCAGATAATTTTCAAGCTAATTTTGCGAATTTTGAGCTTAAACAGAAGCTGAAAACAGTGCAAATATAACGACAACAATATTTCCACAAGAAGACTAAGAGAAGCAGCAGCAGGAATTTGAGTAAATAGAGGGAATGATACCTTCCATCAGGGAGGTAACGGCGAATAGTGAATGGTATCTTTCGCTCTCGCAGCTCCTTCATTGCAATCTAAGAGAAGGATGGAGCACAACCAAAAGATAAGAAAATAAGAAACCACATCAACTAAGTTCTAAACCGCTCTCTGAAATTCCAAAGTTAGATATTGGACAAGAGTTCAACTACAAAATTTTCAAGTGTACAATGACACGAAGGAAAATTTTTTAAAAACCCAAATACACCAACTATCCTATCAGGAGAATTGTAAAGCGATATCTAAATTCCATTTTTATGCCACAAATCCATCCAGTCAAATACACCACAAATATATGTGGTATTATACACATGGAGCCACTAATATTTTTTATAGGATTGAAAAGGAAAAGGAAAAGGAAAAGAGAAAGTATTAGATGTAAATCCTGCTAAATCCAAAAGAAAAGAACAGCGTGCCATGTCATACACCTAACACCCCCACCTTAATTAAAGCATGCTTTGAGTCATAGGCAATGTCATAACAACATGAAGACTGGTAGCAAGTCGATTAAGAAAATAGGCATCCATCTAAGACAGCAAATAAAAACCCAAGTGATAAGATTCATTGTAGAAGAGATTTGTGAAGATGCATCACCAACTTGGAGGAAATATCTATATTAGTTTGGTGCTTCTTCCCCTATCTTATCTCGTTTTTATTTTTTATATTTATTTCTTCATTTCTGGATTTTTTCAATAACCTCCTACATACAAGAAGTGCATGGAGAAATTTTGAAGCGCACTGCCATATTTGGAATTATATAGAATAATTCCACCACCATCAGCAAGTATAAATGGGAGATCAGTGTATTGTAGTATAAATGTGAGAGAATAAGAGAGATCATTGAGAAACCAAGTAGTGATTGCTAGTTAGCGGAGTTGTGGATGTCCTTTTGTTAAATAATAAATTAATTAAAGGTGTCTGTGTTTGCTCAACTTATACTCTATTTATAATTCAATTCCCATTTCATTTAAACTCATTAATTTCGTAGCAGAGAAAGATGGTCAAACAAGGAGCAATTTTTTGAGCTTCCAGAGACTCTGCACAATTTGGAATTATGAAGCTTACTTAAGCTTTACTGATATGGAGGAGGTTAACCAAGTTACAATGAACGACCTACAAGTGGTAGGTGGGTAAAGAAGCTTAATAATCAAAATTACAAGAAGTTATCGTATCTCCAAAGCTAAGACTTCTAAAAGGTAGTGGCCACTATTCACATATAGTCAAATAATGCCGAGGCTCTAAAGAAATGGAAGATTAAAACAAGCACAACTATCATTTCAACCAAGATAACAATCATAGATAAATTCTTGGAGCACATAAGGGCCACAAACACATCGAATAAAACATGGGACACCTTTATTGGATGATTCTGAGAGAAACATGATATACGGTTGCATCTTCTCGAAAACAAGCTATTATCGATAGCTTAAGGAGAGATGACAATAGGCAAAAACTTCAACAAGGTAAAATCTTTCTATCTTGATATCTGTGAATTCAATTCTACAAAGTCAAGTTTCATAATCAAGGTCATGAAGAATTATTACACATGTATTAAGACAATATCGCTGTAATACATGGTTAACCCGAGCAACCCCTATTAGTCAACTTGAAAATTTGTTGGCCAACCAAGAAGGGTGTTGACCTAGGAAATTATAGAGTTCTCACTAAAGAAAGAAGATGAAGCATCATTTCATTTAGCTATAAATGAGAGGTTGAACCAAACAACAAATTAACAGAAAATCAAAATAAAATAAATTTAAAGAAAAAGAATAAGGCTCTCAATCAAGGGAAGACCAACAGGACTGCTATGAGAGTAAATAGTCATCCAAGGGTTATAGGCGGAGTAATTACTCATGATACAGGTGTTGCAAATGAAGATATTATGTTACAAATAGTTTTAGAAAAAGTCTGGGCAGTATAAAAACCTCCAATGAGAGAAAAATATAATAGTAAAGATGAATGGAATGTCGAGAAGTCCACCATAGAAATTGCAAAGAACTTAAAAGCGTGATTAACTCCAAGCTATGTGCTGAAAAAGGCAAGGATTTGAAAATGTCACCGTGTATCAACAACTAGTGGAAAATAACACTAACAAGCTCAATATTCCTTGAGTAGTTGGAGCAAGTTGCTTCGTGGAGAAGCCAAATAAGCAACATCTTGAATGGTATGACGAATCCCTAAGGTGAAATTGACTATAAATTCTTTTACAAGAAAAATAAATATTGCAAGGATGTTGGCTATGTGATGCGAACCATGCTTGATGTCAAGATACGTAAAGATCGAATACTGGATATATGTTCAATCTTGGGGAAACAATAGTGTTATTGAGTAGTAAAAGCAAACCAACAGGGTCCTTATTGAGGTAGTGGCAATGGCTGCACAAGAGAGTACATGGCTACTGGAGTTGATAGCTATATTGTGGTAATTAATCGCCTACCTAGTGTGTCATGCTAGAACTAAGCACGCAAAAGTATACTATCACTCAGAGAAAAGGTGCTAAAAGGGAGATTGAGTTGAAGCATGTCAACACAAAACAAGTGGCAAACATTAACCAAAGGGCCCGGTACTTCAAAATTTGCAAAGTTTTGAGAAAGTTTGGGAAATTTAAAGATAAGAGCTAGACCACATAGTCGGTGCCAAAGGAGAAAAGTGAATAAGCACCACCGACTTTAGGAAATTTCCAAATTATTACAGGTGCTTCTTCCCCTATCTTATCTCCATTTTTATTTGATTCCTTCATTTCTAGCTTTTTCCAATAACTATTGACATTACAAGAAGTGTGGAGAAATTTTGAAGTCCACCACCATATTTGGGATTATTTAGAATAATAAGTCAGCAATTCCACCACCATTAGCAATTATAAATAGAGATGGATGTATTGTCATATGAATGTGAGATAATAAGAGAGATCATTGATTAGCAATGAAGCTAGTGGAGTTGTAAGTGTCATTTTCTTAAATGATAAAATAAGTTATGGGTTTGTGTTAGCTTAACCTGTACAAGTGCTTTTAAAATTCAATTCCCATTTTGTTTAAACTCTTCAAGTCATCAAAAATTTCACACATTCCATTAACATGAAGTTTATCCATTAGGTTGAATCATTTAAAGAACAGAAAAATGTATGTGAGTCATTTCTAGCAAGCAATTGAAATTTATCACCATATATAGGAAAGCATCTACCTCCACTACCCTCTCTCCTCACTCTCCGCTGTGCATACTGCCATCGGCTCTATTTCTATCATATAGAAATAACACTTTGAAGGCAAGCAATTCAAATTAAACGGTAAGGGATTCAGTACTCGGAACTTTGGATGGGCAATATATGCTAAAATTGCATTTGAAAGAGGAGTGTAGTTGTCAAAGCATTTTCTTTTAAGTGATTACTCTTAAAAAAATCAAATTTCATTGGAAAAGGTGAACAATCCCTTGAACCTTAAATAGATAGCATCATCACGATTCTATAATGATACTAGAATACAAAAGATAATTGATATGTATGCAAGAACAATTAGCCCTCGTTTGGTTTAGAAAAGAAATTAGATTTTTAGTAGATTTTGATAAAAAAAAAATTGATGAAATGTTTGATTGAAAAGTTAATAAATGTTGTGCTTTCCCATCGAATGTGTGGATGGATAAAAAAAAAAAAGAAAAAAGAAAAAAAAGAAAAAAGAAGATCGAGCTTTAGAATATGGGGCCAAACAGGGGCTTAGCCTTTCAGTCAAGGGATCAATAAAGCATATAAGCAAAGGTAACAAGAAAATGGAAGCTAATAAATTCATTATCATTATTCCCAATTTTACCTCAAGTGGATCCGTTTCGCCCTCCAACTCAACCATCACTGGAGCATTCATGCTGCAAAACCAAAAGCATTCCTCCAAGTCAAAAACTACTCAACCAACTCCAAAAGTTAATAAATTTCCAACCCTAAAACCATAAAACTGAACCCCACCTTATCTGCAACGCCCGCGTACCCAAAATCCTTGCACGCTCGTATTTGGTCATATACTTGGACGTTTTCCGAGGGCGTTCAACGGGTTCGTCCTCCTGTTTCTCTTCGCCTTCGCCTACAATGTCATCTGGAGCATCTTCATTGTTCTCTTCTTCCAACTCTACACCTTCCTATCAATTGAACAAAAAAAACAGTAAAATAATCACCGATAGACCAAGAAAACGCTACAAGTGATAATATGCAAACATAAAAAGAAAAAAAGCTTCTTACATCGGGTTCCGGTTCAATTGGCTCATCTTCGTATCTTCAAAAATTCAAAAATTCTAGTTAGTGAAAACAAAAACCCTAGCTAAACCCTGATCCCAATAAATAAGCTTTGAGAACAATAATAAAATAAAATAAAATAATTGTCGAATTGCACAGACCCCCCGTCCATGTCGTAGTCCTCATCTGCCATTGCGTTTGTGTGGGTTTCGCGACTTGTTTGTGGGAAACGAAGAATGGAAAGAGAAATGTACAGCGTCCGTATATATTTGTAAGATATTCAAATGGGCTGGGCCTTGCGATTAATCAGAAGTTATTATTTTGGAAAAATTACCCAAAAGCCTATATCTTAAATATACTATTAAACAAAGGATAAATTTTAAATTCATAAATTAGGTGATAATTAAATTTTAGTAAATTAATTAATAAATCCCTTACTCCCCACTACAACACCCTCACTCTCTCTATTTATATTATGCCCCTGTTTTAAATTAATTAATAAATCCCTTACTCCCCACTACAACACCCTCACTCTCTCTATTTATATTATGTCCTTGTTTGACTCTCATTTTGGAGGAAATAATGTATTTTGGACACTTTATTAGAGATTGTTCCAAGAAGAAGGATAGGCAGAAGGCTAAGATGAATGGTGAGGCGAATATGGTTATAGGATCGAGTGATGATCCTAGTAAGGTTTATTGAAAGGGAACTTAGTTACTGCATATGCATCTGTTTGTAATTTGTTCTGCATGTGTGTGATTGTCTAATTTTGGTGCATGATTATATATTGTATTTCAACGTGTTTAATATGTGCGTTTGCATGAATTTGAGGCAATATGATTGTTTGGTGTAATTTTTTGCATGTATAATAGGTTAGGATGCATTAACAGTGTGGTGTACGTCTTTTGGTAAGGTGGAGTTTTAGATGTCTAGGGGTACATCGTGGCTTATATCGGGAATATAGAATGTGACATTTGAATCACGAGTAGAGAAGTGATTAAATGTCCAGAATTCTTTATCTCTAAAGAAACCCTGATCACGTGAAGTGGAAGATGGACACTTCTATCACTTCTGTGAAATGGAGACCTATTATTTACATAGGTAGGGAGAAGTGATGTGGTGATAAAGGATTATCCCAAGAATTTAGGATCTATTGTGACTAGTACCAGTTAGACATGAGTTAAGCGACCAATCTAGTAAGCATGATGGGCTATGATAGGAGATATGTGTTCTCGAGGCCTGAGCAACACAGAATAAGATATGATAAGTGTAGTGAGATCTTTTTGTGGTTATTTATACATTTGTTGCATATGTGTTGGTCATTTGTTGATTAACGTGGTGTTAATCTGTCGTTCTATGTGAACATGATTTTTTGAAAAGATCCTTTTGTTATCGTATATTATATCGTCATCGCATGTTCATTTGCTCTTGGATTGATTACTGTGAATATCTGTTTCTATTTGGGTGTTTTTTATCTTAACCCTGTGAGTAAATGGAGTAGATATGATATGTGTTTCATGTTTGAAACATGAGGTAAGGTCTGTGATCCCAATTTTATTGATTACCTTGGTTATGCAAGTGCTCACTATGTGTTTTGATTGCTTGTAGGTTTATTGGACATCAAGGTGGAGATTCGTTGGGTTTTTTGATACCTAATAAATCCCCGAGAATGATGTAAGCAGTTTCAGATTATATTTCATAGGTCTCGATCGATGAGTGAAATATTTATCAACCAATCAATTCATATGCTTGATCCGAAAACAACGTGGGTCACTAGTAGCAAATTAATTGGTTTTAATTTTGCCTTGACCCAAATTCACTTACAGGAGGGTTTCTTTGTGTCTTGGCCCAATGTCTTGTATCTTGGCCCAATTATTGGTATAGCCTAAATCCATATATGTCCATTCTCAATTGTGGAAGCAGTGTGTTTGCCCTTTGTTTGAGAAGAAATAACGCAGCTGCCCTCTTTGTGATCTCCCTCGAGTTTTTGCCTTTATTGTCTTCTCTTTGCCTTTGTGGGTGAAAGAGGACGAATGCAACCACAAATGAATAGAGTTGTAGGTTGGAGTTTTTTTGGTTGGTTGGTTGAGCTCGGAATCTACATATTGAAGATCTATTCTGCTCCGAAAATTTTCAACTAATTTTGCGTTTTGAAACATCTAAATATATTATTTTTAATATAGCTTATTTTAATAGCGCTGAGAACAAATGGTGACAAATTTTGTTGGGGGGGGGGGGGGGGGCAAATGAATAGAGTTGTAGGTTGGAGTTTTTTTGGTTGGTTGGTTGAGCTCGGAATCTACATATTGAAGATCTATTCTGCTCCGAAAATTTTCAACTAATTTTGCGTTTTGAAACATCTAAATATATTATTTTTAATATAGCTTATTTTAATAGCGCTGAGAACAAATGGTGACAAATTTTGTTGGGGGGGGGGGGGGGGGGCTATTTTTTTTT